TAAGAGATATATATATATATATATATATATTTATATACTTTTGATTTCCCCCTCTCTCTCCGTGAATTGAGAAAAAAATATATTTGTATCAGTCCGATGTGGTGCTTTTAATGGTTGCGTTCGAGAGGGAAAGACGGCGTTGATATGACGAGAAAACCTGGTGGATGAACTGAAACTGGAAAGGCGCAAGGTATCAATGCGTCGTCGTCGTCGTCGCCGTCAGTCATGAATGTTGTATGAGTGTTTGTATCAGAAGCGTACTTATCTTGAACTTTGCGTCGCTATGAGAATATTGGAAATATCGTTCGTGCGCTGTGCTCAAGTTTGTCCCTTTTGATCCGTTCTCTCTCTCTCTCTCTCTCTTTCTCCTCTTAACGTCGTTTTTAGCTCCATTTCCGCCCCGAGACTACAATATGCCTATAGTAATGCTCGGCGTGTGTTAAAGAAATATGTATCGGCATGCATGTTTGAAGAGACACGAACATTTCCTCGAGAATAGTCTATGTCAAAAATTTAACATATTTCATATATTTTTATATCCTTAGACGAGCGATATATTTAATCTTAGATAGAGAAATTTCGCGCCCGCCATTAATTCCCTCTGTCGTGTTTCTTGGTCGTTCCGTCAATGCATAATTTTCACTCCAACTGCATATTATTGGAAATGTCGGGACAGAAAATGCGCATTATGCTGTACCATAATGGCCGCCTTTAAAGCTTTCTTATTGTTGAGCATTGCGTTGCGTCGTATATACTCTCACGGGGAAAACTTAGGAAAATGTGCGCGCCGCAAAAAAGAAAGCAGACATTATACGATTTTGCGGGCATGTAATGACGTGAAAATAGTACGCGGTGGCTTCAACACATGGCCGAGCTATGTTGACCGCGTGTTTAACGATATTCGATTAAAAATACATTAATCCCATGAAAATTCAGCGTTGCTTAACTATACACGTAATCCGCGCAATTGTCTTTTCATTAATTAATCCACGGATTTATCGTTTGCTCGAAAATTATGA